AGAATACAGAGTAGAGTTGAGTTGAGTATAGTAGAAAATAGAATAGAATAACTATAGAATACAGAATAGAGTGGAGTAGAGTGGAGTGGAGTAGAATAGAATAGAATACAGAGTAGAGTTGAGTAGAGTATAGAAGAAAATAGAATAGAATAACTATAGAATACAGAATAGAGTGGAGTGGAGTAGAAAAGAATACAGAGTAGAGTTGAGTTGAGGAGAGTAGAGTAGAAAATAGAATAGAATAACTATAGAATACAGAATAGAGTGGAGTGGAATAGAATAGAATAGAATACAGAGTAGAGTTGAGTTGAGTATAGTAGAAAATAGAATAGAATAACTATAGAATACAGAATAGAGTGGAGTGGAATAGAATAGAATAGAATACAGAGTAGAGTTGAGTTGAGTATAGTATAGAATAGAATAGAATAACTATAGAATACAGAATAGAGTGGAGTAGAAAAGAATAGAGTAGAGTAGAGTATAGTAGAAAATAGAATAGAATAGAATAACTATAGAATACAGAATAGAGTGGAGTAGAGTGGAGTGGAGTAGAATAGAATAGAATAGAATAGAATAGGAGAATACAGAATATAGAATACAGAATACAGAGTAGAGTAGAGCAGAGCAGAGCAATCCCTTGTTTGGGTTTTTTTACAAATTTATTCCACCTTCTTTCTGAATAGTTGAGCTGAGAAGAAGTCGGTGGCAAGCAGAACATCAAAGCAAAGGGATGGTAGACAGCAAATACCCCAAAATTAACTTGAGTCTGCCACCACCAAATGCAAATTCAATCAGACCTATTGTGGAGGAAGACTATATATGGCTCCTAAATAGGGAGTCCTCAACGTATGACCACAATTGAGCCCCAAATTTATGTTGCTAAGTGAGACATTGGTTAAGTGAATTTTGCTCCGTTTTTCTACGACCTTCCTTGCTATGTTTGTAAAGTGGATCACTTGCAACTGTTAAGTTGGTAACCCCCTTTTTGAAGTAAATCTGGCTTCCCAAATTCGAAGGGATTCAAAGGTCCCCAAAAGTGACTCCCATGACCCCGGGAGCCTGCGACCGTCGTAAGTATGAATCGGATGCCGAGTGTCCGAATTTGGATCACGTGAGCAATGGGATGTGGCAGTGGTTGTTCAGTATGAAAAAGGATCGCGAGTCAAATTTTTTTCAGTGCCATAGCTTTGAAGGGTCACTAAATGAACTGTTGTAAGTCGAGGACTACCTGTGGATATGCATATTTAGAGAGGCATGTCCAACGCCTACATTGAACGTGTTTATTCACTCGCTTGCATGAAGACAAGTGGGGGGAAAATGGGTCAAACGTGGACATCAAAAATGTGCGTTGAATGTTGACTTGCTTATGATGACCTGAGGTGGGGGTTTTTCTTGGTGCAACTGTTGGGCAGAGAGAATTTTTTTTGGGACCCGCCAGCGGCCACCAGAGCTGGCAGCAGATTCAGACAGTGAGGAGGTTGGGGAGGAAGATGGGCCAGTCGTGGAGTCTGGGGAAGGCTCTGATGAGGGCTCTGTATGGGAGGCAGAGAGGGGGCTAGAGCTGTCTGACAGTTATCAGCTGCTTTCAGAGTAGGAGATCAGTGGGGCAGAAGAACAGCTGGAGCCTGTTCCCAGTGCGCGCATGCACAGAGTTGCCAGATGAAGGGAACCGCTAAAGAACAGGGGTCGACTTGGGAGGAAGGCCACAGGTGGATGATGAATGGCCCCTCCCAGAGGAAATAAAAAAAGAGCGAAAGGGGAGTGGAGTTTTCAGGAGACAATTAGTTCCCTTCATTGGTACGTGACTCTCCGAGACTCCTTGCCAAGTTCTGAAACTATCGGCCTGGCAGCTCTCCAAGCCAGATAAGGTCTGTGACCGTAAATCCTCCCTCGAAA